ACGAAATAGGGTGAATACATCTCATTACACTGATTTACTGGTAGTCTCGAAACCCTACTTTCATACAAACCTACTGTCAACCAACTAGCTCCAACCGCTGCCTCGTCTATCCCGTCTCTATCCCTAATACCAAGTCCATGACTTGCCATGTCCTAGTCGCTTGTGTGCCAGCCCACAAATGTTGTGGTACTGCTCTCTTTGATTAGGTTTAATGCTGAACCACAACTTTTGTGGGTTGGCACATATGGTAATTATTATTCTCACAATTAATTGAGGATGAACCCTACTCTTCCATAGAATCGCTTCGTTTCATTACCTCCAAATCGGATATTTTTGGTGCGGATTAAAACTTTTATCGTTTGAAGCTACATTACACTTTGCGCGGCAACATACCCAGAAGCGACGGCAGGCATATTTCCAATAATTCGTTTTAAAAAGAAAGATTTTTCGTGAATTAATACTTGGCCAGTGCCGACCTTGTGTAATAAATAGGATTTCTTGATAGTTTAGGCTCTGTCATTTTTGTTCATGGAAAACATTATCACATTCTTTTAAATTTACTATTTAAAATATGTACACCTAAGGATGAATATATCATATCAGTACTCTTGGCGCATAGCGTAAGCCCTAGTTATATTTATAGACCTACACTGGACATACATCCCTACCTTGGAAATGCCCTCATGCATCAGCTGCCTTGCTTAAAGTACCCACGTTTAAAATAGCATATAAAACTGATCGGCCATATTAGAATTTTTAAAATTTTGAGCGTTTATTATTTTAAATCCATTTTATTCATTCGATATTTCCATTCTTAATGATTTCAGCCTAGCCATCTGTTTACCTGCTGTCTGCCTCTGCCCCTACAGACAAAGAATTCTCCCTCAGGCTCTGGTTTCAGCCTTGGCTTAGATTTAGTTTGGCTATTTTCGCCTCCATGGCACCTTGACTCGTGCAGTTCAGCTGCTAGCAGCACCACTGACACTAAATTGCCTTACCCCAATGTCGTCATCTGCTCTGAAGCACTAGATCCAGGCTATGTGTCCTCTATTTCTGGGCCTCCTGGGGTTCAATCTGGTGTCTTTGTTGCTGGAATACATCCTGAAGGCCTGATTCACACCCGGTTGCCAACTTCTTTGCGCCCTCGAATTGGTGATAAATTGGTGGCAATCAACGACTATTCGCTAGATGGTATTGGACCCACAGACAATTTAGAGGTTTGTGAGTGGGTAAATTTTGCAAAGTAGCAGCTAAATTAAATTTTTTTACATTTTGTTAGGTTTTCTTGAAACTCCTCTCAGCTGGAACTAATTTCCAAGTGGAAATAATAATCTCCAAGCTAAAAGAACCATCATATTTTAAATGTTTCATTAATATTTTACGAATTTCCATGACATTCTTCAAATAAAAATTAGGAGTCTACACTAGTCTAAGAAATTAATTTCTGAAAAGTATTGTTGGAAAATTACAGGATTCTTTAGAAATAATGGCTCTTTTCCATCATAGAATCCCACATGTAATCCTATTATTAAGATAATTCATTACCTCAATTCATACAACTGATTATAGAACTAGTCTGGAAAGTGAATGCCCTATTTAATTAATCTATCAATCTAATCTTACCGATCATTTTCATCTAAGGCTATAGTGATAAAAATATAAGAAATTTAATACCTTATTTGTAATATTATGTTTTTTTGTGTTGGTTTGACCACACTCGCTTAAAATAGGTGCGAAGAGTGATGCCAGAACAGAAAATTGGTTAAGGGATTGTCTTCATTTATCACCGATAAGTTGTAATTCTGTGCTCACGATGACGCCTCTCTCTGACAATGTCGACTGCGATATAACGGGGTAAAATTTTTGAATGTACTAGTTAATTGTCCGATGCTGGAAATCACGAATATTATTGCAGAGGACGCATGACTGGGTACATTCTACAAGGCCTCTCTGACGCTCCGACCAAGTTGCGAAAACGAGATTAAGCCAACATTATAAATATAAAGGAGACTGCGACCAAACAGAAGGCCACACCATCTTGCTATCCGCATCTAAGATTAAAATGCTTCTCATATGTCGGTTTTTGAGAATGCTAGTAGATCTCTTCTAAACACTGTATTCACCTTATTTCATTTAAGATTATAATTTAGCATATAATCCTGAAACGTTAACCGCTACGATACACTGTCACGAGGGCCCTTGGTCATGTATCGAGATCATACGCTACACTAACAGGTTCGAGTCCCACTGAGAGAGTTGTTGAAGCTTAGGCGAGGCCGAAACTGGCCTCGATTCGGGATGAGAATACCTTTGGAAAGCAAGGCTATGTAAAATTTAATGGAAACATCAAGCCTCTTCATATCAGTTGAAAAATTCAATTATTTTTCCTTTATTATCTTAAACAAAATATAGTGAAGCAGCTCTTAGAACAAATTTATCTTGGGGCTTTTGTGGTCATGCACCACCATCTTCTTGATTTAAGATGTGTTTTTTTTAACGATTATTATTTTATTTTCTCATGTAAAAATCAGCTTATGCCTCTCGGTCTCGTAACTTTCCTCTAATTTCTGCATGGAAGCGTGATAAAGAATTTCATTAACTGTGTCCGAATGACACTTCCTCATTAAATTGCAGAATCGGGGAGCGATACCATAATGTTTGCAACAATTCATAAAGGCTAAATGACAGGATTGACTTATGAATTGTTGCAAATATTATGGTATCGCTCCCCGATTCTGCAATTTAATGAAGAAGTGTCATTCGGACACAGTTAATGACATTCCTTATCACGCTTCCATGCAGAAATTAGAAGAAAGTTACGAGACCGAGAGGCGTAAGCTATTTAAGTTCATAGATCCTAAGTCTAGATGGAGGAAAGATTTAGGTAGGGTTCTCGCTTGGATGATTTTCAAAAACTCCAGAGCATGACCGACCAGAAGTCACAGAGGGTCCGGGATCTGATAAATAAGCGACATGACAAGAAATTGCTAAGCTATGGGATAATAAGACGACGCAAGACTAAGCCAACCCGGGCAAATTGTGAAAGTTCTCTATTGAAGGCATCAACTGTACAGTCGAAGATAGGACAAGGGTTGTAAACCTTTCCTCAATCCCTCTTGATTTTGAAATGATGGATCTCTTG